GGGGGGGGACATTTATATTACCATTTATAAATAGAAAAATAAAACTCTCAAGCAGGACAGGTTAGCGGTTAGCGCGGTTAGAGCCGGGCCCAGCGCAGTGTGCCCGTGCCCACGGCAGACACCCCGTCAAGCCGCCCTGTGGCACTGATCTGCGTGGGGTCGGGGACGGGGACAAAGCAGGTGATGGAGGGACAAACCCAGAGCTGGGGGAACGGGCAGGAACTGTTGCCAGGTGCTTGATGTTGGGCTGATTCGGCATCCCCTGGGCTGGATTTGGCGCCAGGGTAGGGTCCGGCGGTGCCCAGCCTCAACTCGACAGGCAGCAACCCCGGCCCCAGCCACAGTGGTTAATAAAGCAATAAATACAGGGGGAGCGTGCAGGGGTCCGGGGGTGTTGGGACCCGGCCAGGCACCCAGCAGTGCTGCGGGGGGGACTCTGGGACGAGGGAAGGGGCTGAGCCCAGGTCCCTGGGCCACCCCGTGACTCCCCATCCCAGGGACCCTGTCCCTACCACCCCACGCTCCTGGGCAGCGCTGAGCCAAGAGGCACCCCAACTTCCCCACGGGGCCAGGGGTGCCCCTGTCCCTCATCCCTGGGTCCAAGGGGGGGGGCCCGGGGCCAGAGCCCCCTGCTTCCAGTGTGCGGCATGATGTGCAGTGTGGCGACTGGGCGGGCCAGGGACCCCTATGCCTGCAGGGCCTCGTGGCCCAGCACACCCCCGGCCAGCCGGTAGAGCAGGCGGGAGTACCAGTGCATGCCAGCCTCCGGTGCCGTCCCGTTGCCCGCCTCGGCACGGGCAGGCAGCAGCGAGAGGAGCCCGTGGAAGAGGCGGAGGGGGGCGAAGGCGCGGTGGGCCCAGCGATGGCTCTCCAGGACGGCGTAGCAGGATGCCAGCACCCCATTGACCAGCAAGGTCCCGTGGGAGGTGAGGGGGGCGAAGACCCCCACGCCGTCCTCCCGCGAGACCCTTAGCACCCGTGCGGGGCGCAACCCCTGCCCGCCGGCCCCGTGGGCCAGTACTGCGTCGCCCGGTCGCACGCGGCGGGCGAAGACAGGCAGGAAGGCGGCTGTGCCGTTGGCCGCCCCGCGGGCCGCGAAGACTAGGTGGGACGGGGTGAGAAGCAGCCGGCGCGCCGGGCTGGCCGTCTCGATGGCCACGAAGGAAGTACGTTGGCCCAGGTCGCGGTCGAGGAAGAGCAGCACCTCGGTGGGCACCAGGCGCCCACCCGGCTCTGCGCCCAGCACCCAGTCGCCCTGGCGCAGGTCGGCCAGGCCCCGGCTCTCGCCGCTCTGCAACGTCACGGTGGCGTGGCCGGGGAAGCAGCCGCCGGTGCGGACGGCCAATGAGTTATCTGGGTGGATGGAGAAAGCCGTGGGTCCCCCGTCCCTGCCGGCCACCTCCATCGGCCATCACCTCCAGAGGGGAAACGGCCCAGTGCGGAGCAGCCCCCCTGAACCCCCAAACCACCCCCGGAACAAAGCGGGTATTTTCCGAAGCCCCCCCTGGTTCCTGTATGGTGCTCCCGGGGAGGCCAGTCGCTGCAGGGCCCCTTTGTCCGCCCCGCACTGACGCCCTTTGTTCAGGGCTGGGGACGGTGACATTTACGGCCACTTTCACTTTCTGTCGATTGTCACTTCTGGGCCGGATGGGGGCTGCCGGCCGGAGCGGCCACGGGGCTGGGGGCCACGGGCTGGGCCGCGGCCATCCGGACCGGCTTAACAATCCTTGCTGTGCCCCACACCGGGAGCTGAACCGCGAGGGTGGCTCCGGCTGGACAAAATTTGGAGGGGGAAGTATGTTTTTTGCCAATCTGGTGGCCGGAAAGGCCAGGGGGAGCTGGGCTGAGGCCAAACATAGGCTGAACCCATTGGAGCCAGACACCGGCCGGAGCAGGACTGCATCCCACATGGATCCGGGATGCCAAGGGGGAACAGAGGGAGCTGCGGGGCCACAGGCTGAGATGCTTTATGGGGATGGCAGCACCCCACCCCGACGGCAGCCCCCTCCCCGCGTGGTACCTGCTTTGACGGAGACGTGGACGTGCGCCTTGGATTCGTAGTAGACCCAGTCGAAGCCGGCCTCCACGGCCAGGCGTGCCAGCATGCCGTACTTGTGGCGGTCACGGTCGGAGGTGGTGATGTCCAGCGCCCGGCCCTCGTAGTGCAGCGAGTCGGGGAGGTGGTGCCCGTCCTCGTCCCAGCCCTCCGTCACCCGCAGCTTCACCCCCGGCCACATGTTCATCACCGCGATGGCCAGCGAATTCACCCGTTCCTTGCAGCGCTGAGGCGGGGGGACACACACCAGCACCGGTGTCACCCCCAGCCCCACTGCAGCACCAGGTCCCCTCCCAGGGGGGGATTCCTACACGCAGATGGATAGATGGACACTGGGCCTGCACAGGGCTTGGATGGAGCCCAAAGGAGCTGCTGGTGGGGGCAGATGGTGTGTGTCCCCCCCCAGGGCGCAGAGAGGGGCACGGCCGAGCTGCCCCCCCCCGCCGTGTGGGCGAAGGTTGAACGTTAACATGCCCCGGGGTCCTGTGGTGGAGCCGCCTCTCCGTGCAGGCAGCCGGGCAGAACGGGCAGGGGACCGAGACGGGGACCGGGACGGTGTCACCTTCCCCGTGGCCACGGCCATGACTGATTAACCCGGCGAGGGGGGCTGTGGGGCAGAGCTGGGGGTG